GCCGGGGAGGTGGGGAGCCGGCCGGCCGCGCGCGAGCCAGCGTTTGCGTGCTCACGTGACAGGTCCGCGAGGCCCCGCTCACGCAGTCGTCTGGACGAGGGAAGATGGCGGCCGAGAGGGAACCTCCTCCGTTGGGGGACGGGAAGCCCACCGACTTTGAGGAGCTGGAGGACGGAGAGGACCTGTTCACTAGCACTGTCTCCACCCTGGAGGTGAGACCGCGCGTCGCTGTGGGTGCTGAGTTCCGCCGTTGCAGCGCGTATCGCCATTAGGTGCCTTTCCCCTACCCTGACTTGTGTCTTCCTACCCCCCGGGTTTGCAAGGACCGGGTCGGGCGACACCTGTGACGCGGGCCCTACCTTGGGTACCTGTCAGTGGGCTGGAGCTGGACTGGGGCGACGAGGCCTCCTCAGGAGAAGAGCTTGCGGGCCGGGGGGAACGACCTAATCCTCTGAGGGGCCCGAACCAGACAGCATCGCAGCGCACTTTCGCCGTTCAGCTGGCCTTCCTTGGTGTCACTTGCACCGCACCTTTTTCCAGGCCAGAGGAAGTCTTGCTCTGGGTTCCAGCAAACCTTAGCGTGCACCCCGGGGCCTTTGCAGCACTTCGGAGACGTGCTTGCTTTTCCCACCGGAGGGGGTGCCCCCGAAAGGGGAGAGGAATGAAGTGAGCACTGAATGGCCAAAGATCTGTAGAGAGCGTGTGGATACACTTTTCCCAGTCTTGGCCATTCATGGACTACTAATTCCACTTAAGGGAGGTGCCTCTGTTTTGGGCTGTTAAATGGGTAAATGCATTTGCCCATTTTTGTTTTCTTTAGATCCTAGACTTTTTTAGGGGCCATGGTGTTTGTAAAATAATAAAGTTGAAGGGAGAGAGTAGTCCAGGAAACTTGGGGTTTTTTTTTTGGTAAGTTACCAGGAGAGAAATAAAAACAGATCCCCACCTCCTTTTCCTCTTTTCTCGCATGGTCAGCGATCTCTCAAGCTGAGTGTTCCTGTTTTTGTCAAAGGAAGCACCCTCTATGAACTTCACCGTATTAGACCTCAGGAGCTATGGCTGCTAACCAAAAGGCCAGCAGTTCGAATCCACCAGCCGCTCCTTGGAAACCCTATGGGGCAGTTCTACTCTGTCTTATAGGGTCGCTATGAGTCAGAATTGACTCGACGGCAATTGGTTTGAGTGTTTTGTTTGTATATCCATTTCACGTTTGAATTGCATTGCATTCGATGAGAACACATCCACCTCATAGTAATTGTAATTGTTTGTATGTGTATTAAAATGTAAGCAGATTTCCAGAGGGTTGTTTACTTTGGGCTATACCTCCTTATGAAGTGCTTTTTAGTAAGCTTTCTTGGTGTGCTCAACTCTGCACCAAATCAGTTGGAAATTACTGTAAAATATCCATTAGCTGAAATTCAGTTACCTGTGACTCGAAACTTCCAGGAACCGTTTTCAGCACTGACCGCATTCTGCTAGTTGTATATGCCGGTTTCCTTCGAAATCCTACCTCCCCTCAGACAGACTTCTTGGGGCCAGGGATAGTGCCTTGATCATCTTTGTGTTTCTCACAGAATCTTGAACATTTGCATTTAGTTAATTCTTGCTGGATTGTCAAAACCAACAGCTAAGAATTAGTAAAAATTATCTTGCAGAATATATTTCTTGGGGTTAGTATCCTTTTAGTTCTTTATACATACTGTATAGCTACCTGTATTGAAAGTTAGTGTCTGCAGGATTCTAAAAACCTGTATTCCCTTTGGGAGATAAAAAGATTTTTCCATCAGCAAGGATTGGAGAAAGTTTGATTGAGCTAGTATACTAGAATACTGTGTACACTAAGCATTCTGTTTAACTGAGGTCTTTTAGAGTTGAATAAAAAGAACAGGTATTACTCTGCATAACTGTAGCCTGCATTTCCTAAGTGGATGGAGCTCTTTTAAAAAGTATGGTATTTGATTTTTTTCGGTAAAAGACTGCAGAAGTTTAATTATGAATACTTTAAATTTATCTTGGATAGTGCACTGCGAAAGTTGTAAATAAAGGTTTTTTTTGATTCTTCATCTAGATCTTTTATTTTCATGGACTCATTCAGGTTATTAATTTTAAGAAACAAGTGTAACTGTGAGATTTGCAAATTCAGAACTTTTTTTTTTCTGTTTGGAAAAGGATATATATAGCAGTGTCTCTCAGTATACCAAAAACCGCTCCATTTCTCCACTTCTTTTTAAACAGTGCTTCTCAAACTTTGGTGTGCACATAAATCACCTAGGGATCTTGTTGAAGTACAGATTCTGATTCAGTAGTTAGGGTGGATCCCAAGGTTGTGTTTTTTTAACAAGCTCTCCTGATGCCATGGGAGTGCCTGGATGGTGCAGATGGTTAAATAAGCTCAACTACTAGCAGTTTGAACCCAACCAGGTGCCTCTTAAAACAGGCCTGATGATCGCTTCTGAAAGGTCACCACCATTCTACTCTGCACACAGCGTGTTGCAGTTGGAATCGACTCCACGGCAACACTTCTGGACCATAGAAACACTTTGAGTTGCAAGACCCAACGTTATTCTGAATCAGGTTATCTGCTTTGAATAGTTACTACCTAATTGAAATTAAGACATATAATTTTTCTTTTAATTAAAGAAAAGCAGAGTTTTTAAATTATATTAATCATGTAGATACTTTTGTTTGAGGGTGTTTGATTTGGGGGAAAAATCAGTGAAGTCAAACTCAAATTATAGACAGTTGAATGGCGTAATTGTTAAGCTTGTAATGCCTATACAACTTAGTTTACATATATGCTTAATTAATGTGTATATTTTTTAACCCAATATTGAGCTCATTTCTTTTTAAAATTAAGAACAGGCGTATCAAGATATTTTCAATAAATGAAACATATTTCAGAACCCTACTGTAGGTTTCTATTGTGCTAATTAAACAAGAAAATGGTGGGAACTACTAGTATAGGGACAGGGAAAGGAACGAGAAGGGTAGGAATCTGGTAAAAAGTTTGAGATTTTTGGTATCCTCAGAGGCAAGGCTTTAAATTGTTTACGAACCCTTAAGTGAAACAACCCTTAAGCATAAAGGTGCTTGCCGTAAAACAGCATGGAGTAGTAGACAACGCCTTGAGAAAAAATTAGGAAATTCATATTAGATACCTGGCTCTTTTTTTTTTTTTTTTTAATGCTTTATTGAGAGATAATTCACATACCGTACAATTCACCTATTTCAAGGGTGTAATTCAGTGGCTTCTAATATTTTCACTAATATGTGCAGTCATCACCACAGTCAATTTTAGAACATTTTCATCACCTCAAAAAGAAACCCTATACCTTTAGCTATCACCCCGTATTTCTGTATTTCTCATGCTTCCCCCTCCCCACACACACACTCTAAGCAGTCACGAATCTTTCTGTTTCTATACATTTCCCTATTCTGGACTTACATCAGAATCGGCAGCAGTGAGTGTGGAGTTACATATGAATAAAACCTGCTGCTATTCAGTCAATTCAGACTCATAGTGACCCTATAGGACAGAATAGAATTGCCCCATAGGGTTTTCAAGGAGTGGCTGACGGATTCGAACTGCCAGCCTTTTGGTTAGCAGCCGAGCTCTTAACCACTGTGCCACCAGGGCTCCTACGTATGAATGAAATTATGTAATATGTAGTCTCTTGTGACTGGTTTCTTTCACTTAGCATGTTTTCAAGATTCATTCATGTTCACTCATGTAGTATATGTGCATATATATCAGTACTTCATTCCTTTTTATTGCCAAATAATATTCTAGTGTATGGATATATCACATTTTGTTTATCCATTTGTCCCTTGATGCACATTTGGGTTGTTTCCATCTTTTGGCTATTATGAATAATGCTGCTATAAATATTGTGTACAAGAAGTTTTTCTGGGGACATATGTTTTTCTCTTGGATGTGTGTGTGTGTGTGTGTATACATATATATAGGCTGGAATTGTTGAATCATATTGTAACTCTGTGTTTAATCATTTGAGGAACAACCGGACTGTTTTCCTAAAGTGGTTACACCATTTTACATTCCTCCCAGCACTATGTAAGGGTTCTGATTTCTCCACATCCTTGACCACACTTGTTATTAGCTAACTTTTTGATTGTAGCCATCATAGTGGGTGTAAAGTGGTGTCTCATTTTGGTTATGATTTACATTTCCCTGATGACTAATGATCTATTGGGCATTTAGAGATCTTCCTTGAGGAAATGTCTATTCAGACCTTTTACCCATTTTTTAATTGGGTTATTTGTCTTTTTATTAATTGAGTTGTAAGAGTTCTTTATATAATTTAGATACAAGTCCCTTATCAGATATATGATTTACAAAGATTTTCTCCCGTTCTGTGAGTTGTCTTTTCACTTTCCTGATGGTTTCCTTTGAAGCACAAAAGTTTTAAATTATGATGAAAGTCTAGTTTATCTATTTTTTGTTTTGATGTTATCTTTGATCCATTTTGAATTTTTTATATGGTGTAAGGGTTAACTTTATTCTTTTGTATATGGATGTCCAGTTATCCCATATCCTAGGCATATGATTCCTTTTGAGTTCATTTTTGTATAAGATATGAGGTATGGGTTAAGATTCTTTTTTTTTTTTGGCATATAAATATTTTGTTGTTCCAACACTGTTCTAAAGACTATTCTTTTCCTCTAGAATGGTTTTGGTACCCATGTCAAAAATCAGTTAACCCAGGATGTATGGCTTTATAACTGGTTCTTTTAGTAACCGCATATTTAATGGCCATCTGAAGTTAAGATGGGCACTGTAGTTTCACCAACACTGTCACAAGATTGTGTTTATAGAGCATTTCAAATGGAATTTCCAGATGGAAGGTGCACAGGTCTTAGAATTCCTTTCCCATCAGATAACCCCTTGCTGTAAGTCCTCAGATACAGTACTTGGTTGACTTCAGTGAATGCTTGACTATTTACTCTTTCTGCAAAATTGTTTAGGTGATAACGAGAGTGCAAAGATCAGCAAAACACTGCAATTCTTTGAGAACAGAAGCAAAGTACCAGTGAAATAAAAGGAGGAGATTCTAATTCTTATCAAGGTTCCTGACACATAGATGAGCAATAAATGTTTCTCTTTGACTGTTAAAAGCTCGCAGAGCTTCATCTTGGAGCTTTAGAGGGACCTTGAAGGGGAGGATAACATTTCAGAGGAGGGAATGGCAAGGGG